GTTGCGTTCTTTTCATAAGAATATCTGATAAGAAATGATAAAATAGGAATAGTAAGAGCTCTTCATGATTTAATACTGCTAACGTTAAAAACTTAAATCAATATATAAATAATGCTTTTACATGCTTGTCAGAATGTAATTCAATTATTGTCTGAAACAATTCGAGTTATTACAATGATTAACTAAAATTTCTAGGATGTGGGGGTGTGGGTGTGGGTGTGTGGGTGTGGGTGTGGGTGTGGGTGTGGGTGGGGTGTGGGTGTGGGTGTGGGTGTGGGCGTGGGCGTGTGGGTGTTGATGCGTTTCTAACTATACTCACACCCACCACTCACACCCACACCCACATCCACACCCATACCCACATCCACACCCACACCCACACCCACAACTGCAATTTTACTAGCATCTTCATGATCGAGTTTATTCAGAAATGCCCCTACTGGTATCTGAGTCTTCTTCTGAGTCTCACTCACACCTTCGCTATCCTTTGTGCCAATATGTTCCTCCATTCACTTCAGTTTCTTTGATTTATATGTATCATAAAAAAATATTCTAGCTTTGCCCAGTCAAAATTAGAATTCCAATTTCGTCTGGTCAAATTCTAAATTTGACCAGATTCCAATTTTGACCGTAACATATATATACATAGGCGGCGCGCCAGCAATGCAATAGTTAGCAATTGCAATCCCTAAAATAAATTATTGGAATCAATAAGAACTTATTGCTTTCTCTAATTTTTCACGCTTCCTGTATATTCTAGAGTAAAACTACTTTATTCAACATACATATATTCGATGTGATTCTGTATTTTATGTAGAAAGATTGAATATTAGTCTCAGAAATTGTTTATTGCTATCCTGATGTATCTGTTTCCCGCAACATATATCGAGTGTCTCATAATAAATGGCCAATTTTTCTATTTCATATTTTAATCTTTGAATACATTTTAAAAACGCACAGAAATTAGAATTAGATGCAACGTAAAGATCTCTTCAGCTACAAAGAAAAGCTTATTTTAATTGTGTACTTGGTGTTTTCAAAATAAATGGAATTCTGCGCAATCAATTTTCGACGCTGCGCAAAACGGTCTCACAGAATTTTGTTTCTTTTCAAAACACAAAGTATACAATTAAATAAGCTTTACTTTGTACACTGTAGAAATTTTTACGCTGCATCTTGAGGTATATGCGATAAAACCAATTAGGTGATAAAAGGATGATATAAGAAGAAAATGATTTGCTCATTGGAATAGAAAAATGATCTTTTAGGTACAATAGATATTATTCTCACGGAATTTTACTTTTTTTTGAAAACAAAAATTACACAACCAAAATATGCTGTACTTTGTGGATTGTAGATCTTTTCACGCTGCACCTTCTGGTGTATTATACTTTTTTTAAAGAAAACATATTAAGAGATACGCAGATAAAATAAGAGTGAAGGAATGGTTTTTTGACACCTTCGAAAAGTGGTCTTATAGAATTTTGTCTTTTTCAAAATCAAAATTAAACAACCAAAATCAATCTTGCTTTGTGAATTGTAGAGCTTTTCACGCTGCATCTTGTGGTATACTCGGTTTTTAATAAAAATTTTTAAAGGCTAACATCTGAAATACAAAAACCGGTCATTTATTATGGGACACCCGTTTGAACGAGATTATGAAATTGATATTGAGGGTGTGGGTGTGGGTGGGTGTGGGGGTGTGGGTGTGGGTGTGGGGTGTGGGTGAGTGTGGCTGTGGGTGTGGGTGTGGGTGTGGGTGTGGGTGTGGGTGGGTGTGAGTTAAAGATAAACAGCCACAGCCATAACCACAGCTATAGCCACACCCACACACCCACACACCCCACACCCACACCCACACCCTTCAATTCCTTCACAAGATTTTAACAATGAAAATCCTCAGTCATGAACTAGTCTAAGAGATGAGGTTCTTAAACAAGATTTTTAAAGTAAAAACAAAATAAAAACCTATTCTGAAAACGAATTTTCTTAAATTAATATCTTTTGTAGATAATCATCATAGTGATGCAAATCTTGATTCTACTATAGAAAAACATGATCCTAATGGAGCAGTTCCAAGAACTTTTTCAAGTTCATTAAGAATAACAACAATGAAACGAAAAACAACGCCATCGGGAACGATGTGTTATTGAAAAACAAAGTCAATAATTATTAAATCAAAATGAAAATAACAAAACTGAAACAATAAATAACATATGTGGAGATAAACATCATAACACAGTATAACAAGATGGTAAAATAATTCGAGAATATGAAAATGCAACAATCCATGAATTATATCAGATTGATTCATCATCGAATGATAATAATGATCACATATGATGGGGAATTTGATTTTTTCGCAAATTCAAATACCTCATGAACTGTACTAGATTAGAGAATGACAATTGTCTTATAATTGTTCTTTTAAGCTTTATTTCAAAATAAAAATGTTTTTTTCCAAGATGAAACAGTTCTCGGCATACAACAATAACTATTATCTTTTGAATATGCGATGAGCCATCACCCATTCAGATCCATATTCTCGACGATCAAAAACCACTTTCCCTTTACCCAGGGTGATCATTCCGACCGTTTGAAACTGCGTCTTAAAAGGCCTGAAATAGCTATAAAACGAGGTAATACGGCATTAATTTTCACCTCGTTTCGCTGTAATTCGTCAGCCCGTTTTACGGACCGTTTTTTTGCTAGAAAACGGCCACCGTTTTTAACACTATTTTCAGCATAATCCGAGTTGACGTAAAACGGCGCTGTTTTTGGACGTTTTATATCGTTTTTATGCGGTTTACGGGCCGTTTTCTTGAACATGGGTATTTGTTTTTGAATCATATAAAAATCAATGTTGCCCAACAGAACTAAATAGAGATACAAACGACAATGATAATGAAAAAGAGAATCTGGTATTACCCGTGCAACATCATATAACACTCGTACATGATCGTTTAGATTAAATCGATGTGGATGTTCTCTAGAACTGAAAATCCAAAAACAACTGAATTACAGAGAAATTCGAATTTAAAAAGATCGTCTCATATCTGTTTCATTGAAAAAATAGTGAACAGTCTGCATACCTGGACCTGTTTAATATTTGACAAATTTTTTCGAAAAATATTTGTAATTTTTTTATGTTCCGTTTCATTGAAGCTAACTAGAAGTTGCTGTTCTGCAATAAAGTTCAATAAATTATAATTTTCATCGGTTACATGGTGTTTTGCAAATTCCTTGATCTCGTCATTTAAATGAAAATTTACATTCGATTGTTGTTTTACTCATAGATTTTTGACGAGTTCAGCGGGGCTTAAACCGATTTCCTGAGCAACTGGGTTTATTGAATATGATAAGAACGTACTTTGTTTGTCTAAATTTTCTTCATCGAAATTTTTATCATAAATATTGTCTAAGTAATTCAACGGCAGATGACCTTTTCGATTTGATTCCTTGAGAATATCTCTTGGTTTATTGAAAAATTCACGAATAAGTAGACATCTATCACTTTCCATTTTCGGTGTCTTAAAAGATCCATTCCTTGTTTATAAACTTCAACTTGCTGCTCAACTTCAACAACTTCTTTTGTAAGAGCCATTATCTGTTCCTAATGGTATAAAAAAAAGACACACAACGGGAAAATTCTTCAACAAAAAACTACACTTACGTTCATTGATTTAATATATGAAGTAAAAGTGAGAGAAAATTTATTATTTTATTCATTTATTTTTATCAATCATTAAAAAATTTGGACTTGATGATACTTGATATTATATTATATTATATTGATATTCATATATTTCAATGTACTAGATCGTGAACTTGAAAATGAACACTTAGTAGTTCGAAACGTCGAAATTGATAAAAATAAATAGAAAATAATAAATTTTCTCTCCACTTTTACTTCATATGTTAAATCAAGATAAATGCTCTGACAATTGAAACAAAATACTTACGTTTATATTTTCAAAAATAAAAATGATTTTGGTAAATACACTCTTAACCAATGTCATCAATGCAATAAACGACGTTTCAATTTGACTTTTTGAATTATCTTTTGCAATGCTATCTTTGCATTCTTATATTGCCAATGAGGGTTATTCCGAATTCGCTTATAAGCCTCCAGCCAATAAAAATAGGGATGAACATATATCGTTTGTTGTTAAGAGCGGCTTGTCTTCTTTGACTTTCTTTCTTTGTACTATTGATTCGTTTCACTTTCATATGAAAGTGAAACGAATCAATAGTACAAAGAAAGAAAGTCAAAGAAGACAAGCCGCTCTTAGCAACAAACGATATATGTTCATCCCTATTTTTATTGGCTGGAGGCTTATAAGCGAATTCGGAATAACCCTCATTGTAAACGACAGCGTAAATCATTAATTTCATTATTTGTTTCTACATTCACAAATCTAAATTTAATATCATCATCCAGTTCCTTTATGAACCGATCTAATTCATCAATAATTTTTTTATTATTGTTTGGATCAAAGCAATGTAAATATAAATCCTTTAGAGTCGTTTTAGTTCTATCACGTAAAACATTTAGAAGCCGATCACTTAAATAATTTTCCAATGATACTGTATGATGTTGAAAAATGTCATTAGCCATCATACTAGGGGCGTGGGTGTGAGAGCGTGGGTATGGGTGTGAGTGTGGCTATAACAATAAAGAAAAAAAATGTCCACACCAACCTTCACCCACACTCACACAATCACACCCACACCCACCCACAGCCACACCACACACTCATCCACACCCACCCACACTCACCCACATCCACCCACCCATCCAGACTCACCCACCCATCCACACTCACCCACACCCACACCCACACAACCACACTCACACTCACACCCCACACCCACCCACACAACCACACCCACACTCGCACCCCACACCCACACCCTCATGTAAAGCCTAAAATACAAGCGATTTTATCAGTTTCTAGTGTTCTCTTATTTTGTATGTATTATAATTTTTTTCTTCGGCTTTAATTTGCTGAATTGACAGATCCTGTATTTGTCGTAGGTTTTGTTTTACACATCACTTGTAGTAGATTGATTAGTTCTCTTTCAAATTCAACTTCAATATTTAAACTATCTAATTCAATAGGAGCATATTGACCCAACGGTAATTCAATATAGATGCCATTAAAATCACTGCCAATCAATAATGTAATTCTATCGCCATTCTCATCAAAATGAACCGAACAAATAATTATTAACATCCACTGTTGTTTGTTTTGGTGATAAGATAATATATCATAATTTTGACGTTCAGTCATATCTTGTCGATATTGTAACCAGTAACAATGGCCATCATACCATGAACATGATGGAGGTCGTGCGATAAATTTTGCCTTAGCAGATTCAAATGCAACCGAAACTTTATAGAATATTTTGATTGAATATTGACTTAAAAGAGCAGTAGCTGATTCAAGTGCAAGCAAACTTCTTGTAGCATTACTGAGTTGTTGATCAAATGGAATGGTGCTCTCCTCGAGAATGTGGCGAATTGATTCTAACCGATACTCTAATTGCTCAACCGTCCACTGATATTCCGCATTTTCAAATCCTTTGTCAAATGTTGTCATAATATAACTTCTTAGTTGTTTTGTTAATCCTGGCCGCAATTCTTTCGCAATACCTGAAACAAGAAAAAAATATTGGGAATTTTAGTTAACTACTACTGTGCAGTAGTTTACTTAGGGAGCAATTTAAAGTATACGCGCTTTGAGTTGAATCGATCCATAGGGAGAATGACTCGCAGTACGACTTATGAAATATAGCCGTCGACAAAAACTTATCTCACTGAATTGAGCTCACAATAGCGATAAATTCAGGAAGGCACATTTCAAATAAGAATAACGAACTTTCCTTTTTTCCCATGATCAATGCTAGGGAACTTAGTAATAAATATAAAATTCTACATTTAGTTCTAAAAGCTTTCACTAAAAAGACTTTTTACCGATGATTACACATACCTTTTTCGTTCACAGCTTGATCTATTTTAATCATAATGTCATTTTCAGCTTCTTTTTGCTGATGGGGTGCCAAATGCTCTTCATCACGGTGCTTAAGTCCTGGTTCAATATTAGTTATGAGCCAAAATAGTATCGCACAAACACTTGAAGCATCGATTGTAGGACTACGGCGAACATTTAATAGTACATTCTGCTCTTTCTTTGTTTTATCCTTCCATGTCGCTGAATTCAGCTGTGGAACGCGAAAAAACGCATTACCTAAGGTGCAACCAAAGTGTGTTTGCCGAAATTTCTCTTTTTCTTCAAATTCGGACCAGTCAACGTCATCTTCACGATTTTCGATGTATGCTAGTCCAAAATCGATAACATGAATTTCAGCTGTTTCAATGAGAGTATTCATGTCGTGAACAACTAATAGATTAGCTGGTTTTATATCACGATGCACAACACCTACGCCATGAATCTGTTTAATAGTTAAAAGTAGTTTTTGAGTTAATCTAATAGCGTTCAGCAAGCCCATGCTTTCGTGTTTTTCCATAAACTGTTCTAAAGTGCAACCATCAATATAATTGATAATTGTCCAATAAATTTTATTTCCAGCTATTGCATCTTCTTGTTTATCCGGTATATTTGTATTATCCTGTGTATAAGATGTTAGTTGACTAACATTTTTCATACCTAAGCAAGTGCAACATAAATATATATATAACTTATGGAGAAACTATAGAGAAGAAAAACTTCTGAAAACACTTACCTTTTAATGCCTTTAAAGCGACTAATTCGCGATGAGCACGCATTCTTCGTTCTTTCAAATAGTCTTCTAGTCCTTTGCTATTTTTTTTCGGTTTAGCATCGACTGAATAAATTTTTATTGCCGCTATTTGTGCTTCGTTGTTTTTATAGTATATTGTGCGTACTTGACCCTGGCCACCAGCATCCCCTGATTGTAAATTTTTAGAGGACCAATCCATCGGAACATCGTTTGGTAAATCAGAATTTGCTTAAAAAGAGAAAATGTAAATATTATTAAAGTTACAACACTTTTCTATCAGTTTATCGTGCGTAAAATAGCTACACTTTATGAAGAAGTAGTTCAATTAATAAACTGATAATATACTCACAAGAATTTCTAGTGAATATTTATCAGAAAGGGAGCAATACTTTGACAGTCGACACGCTAATGTCAGAATTTAGTAGTTCGTTATATTTTAGAAAATATACATTCAATCTTCTTACCTTGTTCTTTGACATCTTTAATAGCATCACCAAATAATCGAGTGACATTACCACATGCTCGATCATCTAGAGTGGTTATTGAGTTTGTACTTTGACTACGCTGGCTTCCATCGGAGTTTAATAACTTTTTTGGATCCTCAAGTGATCCTGTTGAGCTTTGTGAATCTACATTGGATACATTATTATTTGCATTCACGAATTCGAATTCACTTTTTCGATGTTCTGTTAGAGTTTGTTCTTGAAAGCATAATTTACAAAAATACAAAAGTGAAAATTATTTTAAAGCAATTTCATTATTATTATATAACGAGGATGAAGATCATTGGGACACATGAACCAAATAGTCGTGGATATTGAAAATTATGTTAAATTGACTTGGCTACACAATTGGTTTTCTTTGTGAAATATTACTCTTAGATAAGTACAAGTGACCTATTTTGAAATTAGTCATGTAAAGCGTAAATTGACTCAATTTTTCTAAACTAGGCATCAACTCGTTGGAAATATGAATCAGATAAAAATACTTTGTTTGAATCGTTGATCTTTTAAAACAAAATTTCCTCAGAACAATATCGAAAATTCTACTTTTCAAGTATATTTTCATATGTCATTTTTTATAAAAAGAATTGGTTGTTAAATCAATAATGTTGTCTGATTTGGGAACAATTTTCGCCTCCGTCTCTCTTAACCATTGACTTCGTTGAATTAAGAGACTCCTATAAATTTAAGCTTGAAATTATTGACAGACTCATTACAGTGACAATCGATTGTGAATAATGAAGCTAAGAGACGTATCACTTTTCTAATTTTGATCTCGTCAAAAATATACGTCGTATTTCCATTAAGCGAATCCTAGCGTTTCCTTCTTGCATAGTCTTTTTTTCGCCAACGTACCGCTGTTCTAATTTGTATATTAGGTGAGAAGAGCTTAATGTTACACTGAACTCATGGAACTTTTGACAGAAAGAATCAGTGGTTTTCCATTTAACTCAAAGGATCCGAAATCAGTATGTAGCTCCAGAAAGATGAAAATGGCATTTTTAGTCAAGAGTAAAAGGAAAACACATGACGAATACTTTCGAAAATATCGGCGCATTAACTATTTTAAACATACCAACAAAAACATAAAGAATATGAATCAAGTAACAATAACCACTAAACGAAATGTCGGATTCAAACTGCCTGAAATTAGGTATAGTATAAAAAATTTGGCTTGTATTAAATCTTCAACATTCAGCTTTTGAGACAAAGCATTGTAAAAACGTCGAAGTTCATGAACATTTATGCTTATAGGTAATTCTGTTGCGCAGTTTGCCTATCTAACTCCTGAGACCAAGATGTAACATCACCATGCTTGTTATTCATATTTTTTAACAATATCTTTCAAATGAAACTTTGTGGCGAATTCAGTAACGCTTCATATTAAAGAAGATTATGAATTCAAAGAGCTATGACATACTTTTCACGACCTGAAAATAGATATGTGAATCTCTGACTATTAAACACTAATTTGGAGAACTTATTTTTAACAGTTTGAGCAAATATCAAACACATTGCGCAAGATTTCTTCGATATGAAGCATTGCTCAACTGACTCAAAGTTTTCGATTCAAAAACATAATCAAAAAACACAAGGAGATGTGATCATGACAATGTAGTATTTCTGCTGCAGGAGTTAGATGGAGATGTAACGTTAACATTTTTCAGATATTGGTACTGTGAAAACCAAAGGATGTTTTACTGAATGAGAGAGAATTCCTTAGTTCAGCACAGCACTCAAAAAAAGAGGTACGCAACATGAGTTTTTATATCTACTTTATCATCTTACAAGCAAATGTTGTTAACTAAAAAGATTGAAGCGAGAAGCAACTTTCTCGCTCTTCTTAGTAGAGTCATTGTGTTTAAGGCTTTGCCCTAGCATAATTGAGCTATATTTTTGCTGGATACTCAACTAGAATCTAAGCTGCTAGATAAGAATGAGCCTCGATCACAAAATGTAGCACATAGTATATGGCAAACAAAGTATTTGATTGCCTTTTTACCATCTATTATCAATTCTTTGACTGCTCTATTAACGTTATGCAGATCGGGATGTCTTAATTTCGCTTTCATCTGTTCATCTTCAAAAATCTCTGTCTTATTTATCTATCTTTTCATTCTCACTTCCGTCACATGGTCTATGTTTTATTTCGTTTGTCCTCATCTCCGTCATGGTTATTCGTCTGTCACTCTATGAGTCGTTTTGATAGGGACATTTGCCTGTCGTTGGATTCATCACAGTGCCTAAGATCTGCACGTGTCACTAGATCAGTCACACCTAAAGAACTTATCAGTCTGTTGTTCCTTAGTTCTCTTAGCTGGAAGCATGTGCACAAACGTTCGTTATCATATGGCTTTCAGCTTATAGTTAAAGACAGAAAAATGGAAGTACACCTCAACTAATCGTAAACTCACCAGGCATTGAAGTCTGCAATGTATTTGTATTATTATTAACTGGGACTGAATTTGAATCTTTTTCTACGGAGTATGCAACATCATTAAAGGTATGCGGATTGTCTTGGATTGCTTTGTCCACAGGATCATAACTTAAATTAAAATTGATCATTTTAAAAATAAGGTTTGATTTACAGTATCCAAAATCTTACTCGTCATAGGTGATTTTCACCTCCTTTTCTGCTCTTTCGATTCCAAGGATTGTACCATACTGACCAAAGTGACGCTTTAATTCATCTTCTGGTAGAATGTGTAGCGGCTTCACACCAAAAGATAGTGTACGTATGTCTCTTTGTGCTCTGAGCTTTTTCGAATTAGGTGTTACTCGTAAATCTCGATGAATATAAATAGCATGGCCGTTCAGAATATGCGGACGGTTTTCTTTTTTCATCATATTGTCGACTGATTGTGGTTCTTGATATTGAGCAACACCACGCGGTGCTGACGATTTATCTATGACTAAGAATAAGCTTTCTGTTATGAAACAACTTAGATTGTGAATTGCGAAAGAAACATTGGTATAGGTATAGTAACTTTTAAAAAAAGTACTTCTTGAGTGTAGATCAGCATGATCTCCATCATTCATGGCCACAGTCTGGAACGTAACCGATTTTTCAAAAAATGTCATAGCCGTAGCCAACGTGTTTCATGACAAATTTTAAACTGTAGCCGTATGACTTCTGTTTTTAGTCTTGTGCAACTCATACAACTTATCATGAGTGTGTAACGTTAGAATCGAACTTTGTCCAAATTTTCCTCTCACCTTTCAGGCACTCATTCTACTGCTTCATATAATTTGTATTGAAAACTAACTCGTACTCTTCCTGTAAAATCTTGTTGTACTTAGGTTCGATGTACTGACATTGAGTGGTTCGAGTAGAGTATGTGATCGAAAGCAAGAAAATATTGCATGAGATTTATAATACCTGATGTGTTAAATGCTCAAATGATTTATTATCAAGAGTTACAGGTTCGGTTAATGCAATTGGGATTTCATCCGTGCAATTTGCGAGAAACAAAACTCGATTTGTTCATTATCGAATGTAGAAAATGGGAGTGACTAAGAAATCACCTAGAAAAAAGAAAAATGTACATCTTAACTATTTTATGATGAAACGAACTGTTTGTTTCTAGCTGATAAAGAAAATCTTCTAGGTTTTATTCACAAGAAAAAAATTTAATAGTATTGCTCAAAGCTATTATTATTCATTTAAAAGAGAAAAAGTTACATTTCGCGCAAAAATAAGCTACAGATTTTGGATTTCTATAATCTGATGCAAAATTCACGTATTCTTAATTTTTTAACAGTTTTTGTCAACGCTAGAGTTGTCGGTAACGTATCTAATTTCTTAAGAACTCCACAGAATCCTCTCGAGTTTTATTTCACAGAAAAGCTCTGAAAATACTAGCATCTACGGTTAAGGTTTGCTAGTATACTGATAAGCATGCTTAACAGCAAATACAAATGTCTTCAAAAGCCTATTGACAAGTCATACTTTATCATATCCATTTTGCTGATAATTGTATTAAAAGAGTTTTTCTATTTTTTTAAAGACATGACAGTTTGAAGTCAAAATCCTATAAAACATCAAAGAGCCCGAACCGAACCAATACCCTGTTTTCTACTAGTCGGGCCCTAGTATCGAGATGTCTTGATGAAAAGAGAAAAAGTTTTACATCAAAATGATCAGCAGAAAAAAATCGGTAGAGTAGGACTTGTCAATAAATTTTTGGTTATCTTTGCATGTTTTGTTGTTCGCAAATTATAAAAGTGCCTGATAGAAAAGGTCGAATTTGTATTGATGTAGACAATACTAGATTCCAAAAGTGTTAATAAACTACTACCTTATGAATAAAAACTTGAAAGCTTCTGTATCATCCAGAAAAAGAAATTAGCTCATTTGTTCATAATACGGTGAAGATGCACTATTTTCTTTTTTGTAAATGATTTCAAGAGCACCATGCATTTGTTTATTTTATTTTCATTTTGCTCACCATGTAAAGAAGAACATCAACAACATAAGTCAATGTGTTTTTGCATATTAGCAGTGCCCGATATCGGTAGCTACTTTCTATCAATTGGTACTAATACACTTAAGAGACTTTTTGTGACTGACATGAATGGTCAACACTATAACCATGACCAAAAGCTAATAATCCCGTCAATCTCTAGTCTTGAGTCTGTGACATGGTTAGTTCCCAATCAGACAAACATCTTGAAAAAACGCGTTAAAACGCGTAAAAATTTCGTTAAAACGGCGTTTTAACGATAGCCTATCGTAAAAACGGCGTTTTTACGATTTTTGAACGCGTTTTATTGCGTTAAAATATTCAAGCGTTAAAATATGTAGATTTTTTCTCAGTTTTTATGCATTAATAATTCAAAATTCACGCATTTTTACGCGTATTTTTTTAACGGGTTTTATTATTGTGTGTACCAGTTATTAACTATTTCTGTTTTTTTTAGGCAAGTAAACGTCTTCAAACCACTTAGCTGGTTCCTTGAGAATATTAAAAAGCCAGAATCTTTTCTAAGATAAGTTATACTTATTTAAATGCATCGGATATGCTTTGAGATTTTTTTGTGAGAGTTAAAAGTGATTGCTTTCAAGAACCATAAAAAAGAATGAAGTATACTTCTGAAACAGATCAGGATTATTTGGCTCTTGTGTAGCTATCAGAATACCTAGGTTCTCATTATGCATTGCGTCACTTGTTTGTAAATTCCTTTGCATGAAAGTGAAATTTGATGCTATTATACGTGTGGTGTCAGATAGATGTTTAAACTAATTTTCCTTGTATGCAAATAATACTTACTATGATAAATAATCTAGAGTTAAATGATATTAAATAAAACAGTTGAGCAAGTATATATAATAGAAAAATGAAAAGAAAAGAGGCACGAATGAAAAACAGTAACAAACAGTAGCTATTTTAAGAGTTTTTATGTGGATTCTAGACGATTTGGAAATAGATGGAATTCCTAAACAGAACTGAGATTTTCACCTGATCGATATGCAACTTTTTCTCTGATTGAATCATAGTGAGTCGAAACAGTGGTTCGTGGATTATTTAATTGCGTAAAAATAAAGAAATCATTTATGTATTCCGTTTCAGGGTGGGTGTGGGTATAATTAAAAACACACTTCCACACCGACACACCCGCATTCACACCCTAAATGTCAACAAGTATATAAAATTATACGATTGAGAAATGATGAAGAATAGATCTAGAATTTCATACTTATATTTATTTATTTATATTATTAAAAGAAAAAAGTCTACGATAAATACAGCAAAACTTAAATTACATTTATATGATCTTTAAGAGAATAAATCGTACTGACTAAATAAGGTCGATTTAGACATAAATATGTGCTTGTTTTCTTGGTTAGATAGCATTTTTATTTATCGAAATGATAAAGAAGTCTTTGTGCATCTTACTGTATCTACCAGTTATTATCCGACTAGACAAAATATTTTGTTATACATCATATCCAAGAAAATATAGTTTCTTTCTCTATTTCATTCTTTTTGTAGTTGAATCTACAATTTCGTATTAGCTGACAGTTTTAACTAATCATATGCAAGTCATTTTTTGCCATTAATATAGGAAAATTTTAGAACCTATTTAAACATAATATATTTTGCGTTTAAACAATCGAAGAAAAATAAAAGTTCACTATAAAGACATTGACATGAAATTCAATTTTTATGAGTTTGATTTATCTGACCGCTGTTGATAGTGTATTTAAGCTTTGCTGTAGTTTGTTTGTAGAATAATATAAAGTATCAAAAATTCTCATTTAGAATCGTTTTGATATTATCTCATCGCCACTCTGAGAAAATATTTTAAGTCCACAAAAGGCGACTTAAATAATCCACCTGTTTATACATATATTGCAATATATATTTCATTTTTCTGAATTCTTCAAGTGTTAATTTGAACAAAAATGCACTTTAGCATATACATCCATTTGATTTGATTGAAATTTCACTAGAAAATTCTTTTGTTGTACTATTTACTGATCTGAGTTTTGTTCTGGGTTTTACTTAGTGTTTTCTGAATATAGAGCAAAATAAAAAATGTGGCGCCATCTATAATGAGATTTTCCATTTTTCTTAGAAACAATTGAACCAAATTCTAAATCAACTTCAGATCAATAAATAGAAAAAAAACAACAGAATAGACTTTAGAAATTTCATCAGAAGGTATATTCGAGCATGTGGAAGTTTATATTTTCCGATGAGTTCCTATATATATACATATATAGATAGATAGCTAAATCGGTAGTTAGATATACAGGTAGATAGATCGTCAGATAGATACGTAGTTAGATAGTTGGATAGATAGGTAACTCCATGGTCAGATGGTTAGGTAGTTAGATAGGTGGTTAGATACATAAATAGATGGATAGACAGATAGTTAGATATGTAGTTGAATAGTTATATGGTTAAGTAGTTAGATAGGCGGTTAGATAGGTGCTTAGATACATAGATAGACAGATAGTTTGATAGGTAGTTGGACAGATAGGTAGACAGCTATTCAGATAGATATATAGGTAGTTAGATAACCATGTAAAAAAAGTATAAGAAAACACTATTAAGCATTTTCAATAGTGGATTTTAAACAGGGAAACTACTTCATAGTAGTTTTTGAGTAAAAACTATAAAATACTTAAAAAGATTCGCTTATAAGTATTTTTTCTGTTTAAAATCTATTATTGCAAGTACTTAGTAGTAAATTTTTTGGATGAAATTTTTTACATGGATAGATAGATGGTTAGATAGATAGTTAGGTAGATAGATAGATAGGTAGTTAGATAGATAGTTAGCTAGTTAGATAGTTAGATATATGGTTAGGTAGGTAGATAGTTAGATAGATAAATAGTTAGGTAGATACATAGATAGTTAGGTAGATAGATAGTTAGATAGGCAGTTAGATAGATAGATAGATAGATAGTTAGGTAGATAGGTAGTTAGATAGATAGATAGTTAGATAGTTAGTTAGATACATAGTTAGATATATAGTTAGGGAGTTAGATAGATAGTTAGGTACCTGGTCAGACAAACACAACAGAACGGCGTTAAAATGTTGCAAAATTTTAACGA